AGAGTGCCTCCAGGGCTCCTACCTAACAATCGGCTATCATAGCCCTTGATAGTTGGCAACATTATTATATATGGGTTCCTGGTGTGGAACTATAGGATAAGCACTGGACTGCAAACCACAAGGTCTGTGGTTAAACCCACCTGCTGTTCCTTGGAAACCCTATATAGGGCATTACTGAAAACTTGTCTGCAGCCATCCATTGATCACAAAAGTAGTTTTAAATATTTTGCTTCACATTCCAATTATATGCACACTATTACATCAACCCCAAAGCCTCCAAGTCCAAAATCTCATCTTTGAATCACTTAAATTTGTGTAAGACTTCAGGTGTATTAGGGAGCCCTGGTGGTACTGTACATTAGGCACTGGGCTTTAACCTACAGGTTAATGATTCAAATCCACCAACCACTCTACAGGAGAAAGATAAGACTATCTGTTTCAGTAAATATTTAGTCTTGGAAACCCTATATTGGGTTGCTGTGAGTCAGAATGGACTCAGTGACAATGGGTTTTAAGTGTATTTCATCCTTTTCATCTGTGAACTTGTAAAATCTATAATATAAGTTATCAGTTTCACAGGCACAAGGTATACATTTCCATTACAAATGGAGAAATTAGAGGGGAAAAAATAAAGAGCATCAAGCAAGTCCAAAATCCATTAGAAAAATTTATATTACCTTTCAAAGTTTGAAAATAATTCTGTTCTCTGGGACAGTTTGGGCCATGGCCCAACTCTCCAGACTTTAGGTGGAGGACCCTTGGCTTTAGACTTCAGCTCTGCCCTCTAGGCCCTCTGTGAAGGTAACACTGCTCCCTTGTTTTTGGGCAACCTCAGTCCCCTCGTCCATCTGAGTGGTGACCTCATCCCCTTGGCCCTGACAGACCTCACTCTTCTACCCTTGGGTACAGCAACCCTGCTCTTTCAGCTTTGGGTGGCAGCCCCATCCCCCGGTACACTTTAACAACAGCTCCACACTCTGGAACAGAGTTAGTAAAGCTGATTCTTTTCTAGGAATCTGTGGCCCCACCTTTTGGGATCAAGGAAACTGTGACCCCACTCATTGAAACTGAGAAGGTCCTCCTTCCCATGATCTTCCCAACATTTCTGATTTCTGAACTGCTTCATAGATGGTACATTTCTTTTCTTGGACAACAGCTTCTTTGGCCTGGTTCCTGCCTGTAGCATTTCAAGAAGACAGTGTTATTTTCTTTTTTTTCTTTCTCTGTCCCCTTCAGTCTACACTGTTGGACTTTTTGCTGATAATGGTTAGGTCCATGAGTCACAAGTTTGTCTTCAACAAGTTATTGTAAAGCCAAATCCTTGGTGAACATTCTCAGACATGTGTCCTTAACTTGTACAACAGAATTTTCCAATCTTTTCTGTTTGCATTTTGCAGCTAATTTTTAAATCCATCTTTTTCCTCTCACATTTTACTATGTGTGATAAGGAGAAATCAATAGGCCCTTATAAGATCTTGCTTAGAAATTTCATCAGCCAGTATCCATGTTCATCACTTACAAGTTCTCCCTTCTACCAAGCATTAGAAAATGCAGGCAATCTTTTTGCCATTGTATAAAAGCATTGCCATTCCTCCATGTATAATAATATATTTATAATTTTCTGTTAAAGCTTCACAAGAAACACATTTAACATCTTAATTTCTAGCAACATTTTGTTGCTGGCGTCATATATATTTTCTAATAGAAACTTTCTCTATGCTGTTGTTAAGTGCCATCATGTCAGTTCTGACTCAAAGGTGACCCTGTATAGAGTTTCCAAGGAGTGACTGGTAGGTTTGAACTGTTGACCTTGCTGTTAGAAGTTCAGTGCTTATCTCACAGTGCCACACCAGGATTCTGTATCTATATATATATATTCTGCTATCTTCATTTTTAATAGAAACTTTCTATTATTAGCTCTCAATTCTGAGCTCTTAGAAGCATTGCCTTTGACAGCCATAATTCTACCAATAGTCTCTTCAAGGCAATCTAGAATTTTACAACAGTTGTTGTGTGCCATCAAGTTGGTTCTGACTCATTGTGACCCTGTATAGCGTTTCCACAAGTGGCTGGTGGGTTTGAACTGCTGACCTTGTGGCTTTCAGTAAAATGCTTATCCTACAGCACTCACCTTAAAACTCTTTCAGCTTCTACCTATTTCCCATTTTCCAAACTGCTTCCTTCCACATTTTGGGAATGAGAGAAGCACCTGACTCTCTTGGAACCACATTCTTAGTTATCTACTGCTGCTATAAAAGAAATATCACAAATTGACGGTTTTAACAAACAAATTTATTTTCTCATAGCTTAAGGGGCTAGAAGGTAAAATTCAGGGTGCCACCTCTAGGCGAAGTCTTTTATTTCTTTGTTGGCTATAGAGAAGTGTCCCTCTCTTTGAGCCTCTGGTTTGGGGTGATCATTATGTATCTTGGCCTATTTCTTTCTCCATAACTTCCTAGCTGTGTTTAATCTTTCATATTTCAAAAGAGAATGACTGAAGACACACCCTACATGAATCCTGCCTCAAGAATATAACAAATACAACTTATTCCCAAATTAAATTATAACCACAGGCACAAAGTTTATGGTTTATGACACTTATTTTTTGGAACATAATTCAATGTATACATCAGATAACATTTTTTTAACTTAAGAGTGATTGATACTTTTTTATTTGGGGGAAGTTATAATTTCCTAAGAATTTTCCAATTTTAGGAAGAAACTAGATATAGAAGATCTTGGAATGATACTGGGAAAAGTATCATTAATGACCCAGAAAAAGCTGATCCTCATAGTCTGAAACAATTAGCTTGGCTAATTGTTTGACCCCTTGATCATACAATCTGAATTTTTTTTTTTTCCATTTGTTTAATCTCACTGGTAAAGAAGACATAAACACTTCTACGCTACAGGAATTCCAACCCCTAACGGCTTGCCTACGCCTGATATACTAGCCAAACACTTAGTCTCTTTAGTGCTCAGTAAATTTGGTTTATGACATTTTTTTTTTTGCTTGCTCATATTATTAATCACATTTTAGAAAAGCTGAAAGTGGCTAAAATAATTTGTTGGATGATATTATAGTCTGGTTATAGAGAAAAAAGCATCCAAATTCAAATTTCTGAACACAGAGTTTGTGATTTTACCTAGTATCCCACAGAATTTGCAGAAGGAAACAGTGTCTTAAAATAGAGGTAATATGGAATGGAAGGGTTAATGTCACTTGACTCACTTTACACAGATGGGAGAACCTGAGTCCTATATTGTTCCTGGGTCTTCTTGGTGACTAGTAACAAGAGCTCAAGGCGGTGATTGGTAATGAGATCTCAAGGGAACAGATACTCCATGTGAACAAAAGTTGTGCTCCTTATTGCCACATTGTGAGATAATTTTTAACAGCTTGTTATCAGTAAATTAAATACCAAATGCAGTAGTTATGTGAATAAACTTTACTTCTCAGTTTAGTATTTTTTAAAAAGATAATCATGTTATGAGAAAAATGAAGTGAAATGCCATGCATTTTCTGATTTAAAATAAAACAACAGATATGATTCCAAGTTTGTAACAAATAGTCAACAAGAAATTTCACAGGATTGTACATCTGCATAGTTTACAGAGTGAATTTCTTTTCAAATGAAAACTTTAGCAAACACTCAAATGCATAATTTGCTTTTAGACTATGTAAAAAACAAATTTTACTAACATTGAGGTAGCTACAGGTCACTTGCATACATTTCTTCTTGAAAACATTCTTTTAAGTACAATTGGCTTGCATAAAACTTAAATACAATTTAAGAAAATAGATCCATGTATTTGTCAATATTTTGGCTACACTTTTAAACAAACCAGCACGCTTCCCAGTCATTCCTTTTTATGGTGTTGGTGGTTATCAAACATGACTAGAAAGAAAATAAATAATACTACCACCCCTTGATCATACAATTGGAGATATGTTATAGTTACTAATAACTTTAGCACATACAAAAAGTCATTTTCTAGAGGCTTTCCTAATATTTCCAAAGTTACCCTGAATTATGAAGTCTCTGATGTAGGATGAGATATAAATGATCAAGTTTTGCCCACAATTTTATCCTAAGACAGATCCTATGATATTCAGTATGGAATGAACTTCAATTGAAAGACTTTCCACATTCATCATAGGTTTACAATTTCTCTCAAGTGTGAGTCCTCTGATGATTAGTAAGGGATGAACTCTGACTAAAAGCTTTCCCACATTGTTTACATTTATAAGGCTTTTCTCCAGTATGAATTCTCATATGTGTCATAAGGGATGAACTTTGTCTGAACGCTTTCCCACACACTTTACAGTTGAATGGTTTCTCTCCAGTATGAATTCTCTGGTGCTGAATTAGGGCTGAGCTTTGGTTGAAGGCTTTTTCACAGTCATTACATTTATAAGGTTTCTCTCCACTATGAATTTTCCGATGAGTATTAACTGCTGAATGGGAACTGAAAGCTTTCCCACATTCTTTACAATTATACGGTTTCTCTCCAGTATGAATTCTATGATGTATATTGAGCCGTGAAATCCAGGAGAATGCTTTTCCACATTCATTACATTTGTAGGGCTTTTCTCCAGTGTGAATTCTCTGATGTTGTATAAGAGCTGAGCTTTGGCTGAAGGCTTTCCCACATTCTTTACATGCATAAGGTTTCTCACCAGTGTGAGTTCTCTGATGTATAATAAGGGCCGAGTGATAACTAAAGACTTTTCCACACTCATTACAGTTAAAGGGTTTCTCTCCAGTATGAATTCTATGGTGTCTACTTAGCCGTGATATCGAAGTAAAGGCTTTTCCACACTGATTACATTCATATGGTTTCTCTCCAGTATGGATTCTATGATGCTGAATAAGAGATGAGCATTGACTAAAGGCTCTCCCACATTCATTACACTTATAGGGCTTTTCTCCAGTATGAATTCGCTGGTGATTATTAAGAGAAGAACTACCTTTAAAGGTTTTTCCACATTCTTTGCATTTATAGGGTCTTTCTCCAGTATGCATTCTTTGATGTCCAATAAGTGATGTGGTGAAGCTGAAGGCTTTCCCACATTCATTGCATATAAAAGGTTTTTCTCCAGTGTGAACTCTCAGGTGCTGAGTCAAGGATGAGCTTTGGCTGAAAGCTTTCCTACATTCCTTACATTTATAGAGCTTTTCTCCAGTATGGATTCTTTGATGCTTACTCAGGGAAGAACTATGGAGGAAGACTTTTCCACAGACATTACATTTATAACATTTACGCCATGTGTTGATTCCAAGTTGTTTAAGTAGAGTTGAATACTGTTGTGAGTAGGGTTTCCTTCCTCTTGATACGATTCTGGGTGGTCTTATAAGTGGTGACCTCAGACCAATATTTTTCCCAAATTCACTACCTTTAAAGCTTCTTTCTCTTATATAAGTTTTCTTGAAGGTAACTAAGACTTTCCTGAAAGGTTTACTTTTGCCTTGCTGCTTCTCTAACTTGCCCTCATATATGTACGTTTTTCCCAACTTGAAGTTAAAAGGACCACCATCAAGGAGTTTTTTCATTATCACTACCTGAGTTTCTCCTTCTGAAACTGTGGTTTCAAGCAAGCTCTTCCATCCTAAAATAAACAGAACATATAAATCATGTTGCACTGCAAATAAGGAAAAGTGATAGTAAGATACAAGGATAGTTAGCAAGTAGTCCCTGAATCTTAGGAAAGGACAGGTGGAAAAATTATGAAAAGGAAGCAGGATGGAATACATGCCTGGGTATGGAGGATCCACCCCAAACTATTACTAAGTGAGTTGAGAAACTTGAAGGGAAGTTCTTCCAATAGGAAAGGTGGCTAGCTTGATCTAGTACAAAAGTGTCTTTAGGAAGTGGACCATTTCATATGGTTTATCTCTATGTGCTATTATCCAGATTTATCTCCCAGTTTAAGCCACTATGGTACTGAAGACATATACTCATGGAAAAATGCAGAGGAGCTATAATTTAAAAATAAAATAACTGTTACCCTAAAAATCTCCATGAAACACTGGGTCTCAAGTGATGCTACTCGGGGAGTCACATGAGTTCTCTAAATAATGCTCCAATATTTACTGAGTACCCACCACATACCTCATAAATATCAAGATGTTGGAGAGCACAGACAAAGATCCTTTTCTCACAAAGCTTATATTGTCATTAGCAGGATAATGACAATGACCACATTACCAAATAAAGAAGAAAGTACTAGGGAACATTGAGAACTGGAAAACAACAAAAACAAAGTGATGTGTGCAAAAAGTAAAGTGACTGGTATTTTAAACTGGGTAATGAGGAAATGAAATTAATGTTGGGATCTAACTAACAAGAGCTGGTGGTGGTTATGTGCCGTGGAGTCGGTTCCAACTCATAGCGACCTTGTACAGTGTTTCCAAGGCTGTAAATCTTTATGGGAGCAGAAAGCCTCATCTTTCTCCCACAGAACAGCTGGTAGTTTCGAACTGCTAACCTTGAGGTCTGCAGCCTGATTTGTAACCACTACATTATCAGAGCTCCTTAACAAGAGCTAGTCATGTAAAAACGTGGGGATCAAGATTACTACAGTAAGAAAGAATAGCTAACACAAAGTCTCAAAGGCAGGAACAAGCTTTCTTTGATTCAGGAACATAAAAAAAAAGAAGCCTAGTACGGTTTAAGCCGAGTGAACAAGGATAGAGTGTTACTGGCTGAAGAAAAGTGGTAGGTAGGGCCACATCTCATAGAGGCTTATAGGCCATAGGAAAAGCACTCTGGAAGTTGTATGACAAATGGACTGCAACTGGTCATAGAGGAGAAGAGGACAAGGTAGACACAGAACAGATAATTAGGAAGTTATGATTACCAAATGGAAATAAAGGCAGCTTGGTCTGTCATGGTAGTAGTAGAAATTGAAAGAGGTGGGTATATTTGGGATGTTTTACAAGTAGAGTTAACAGCTATTTTTAATAAATATGGTGTGCGGTGTAATGGAAAGTGAGGAATCAAAACTGTGAAGCTTTTTGCTTGGGCAACAGGATAGGCATTTATGCCATCTAATAATATGGTGAGCACTGGAAGAAGAGTGTATTGTTAAGAACACTATTTTGTTTACTTTTTTTTATTTATTAATTAAGATACACCAAAAGAAGTGGAATCACACATTTTATAAAAAATATTTATTCTCTTAATTAAAAAGAAAAGGAGTCCTAGCGTGGCACTGTGCATTAATATGCTAGACTGCAAAGTCAGTTTGAATCACAAGGTCCGCAGTCCAAGCACACCAGCTGCTCCTTGGAAATCCTATACAAGGTCACTATGGGTCAGAACCGACGCGATAGCACTTTACAACAACAATAACAATAGTCATTATAAGCAAAATTAATACAAAATGTATAAAAAGAAAAATATAATTTGTCCATACACTGTGCAAATGGAATCACTGTAATATTTAACAATTATTGTTGTTGTTCATTGTTGTTGACTCAGTTCTGACCCATAGCAACCCTGTATAGGGTTTCTGAGGAGCAACTGGTGAGCTTGAACTGCTGACCTTGCATTTCAAACTGTGCAGTCCAGCACATTAACCCACAGCACCACACCAGGATTTCATTTAACATTTATTGTTGTTGTTGTTGTTGTTGTTGTGAAGTGCCGTCAAGTTGGTTCCGACCCATAGCAACCCTGTACCGGTTTTCCAAGGAGTAGCTGGTGAGCTTGAACCACCAACCTTGAAGTTCAAACTGCTCTGCAGTCTGGCGCATTAACCCACAGCATCACACCAGGACTCCAATTAACATTTAGTCCACCCAAATGGATACCAAGAAATTTGTGACAGTTACTTGGGCAAACAACTGGAAGAGATCTATATTTGTGCCTATTCTAAAGAAAGGTGATTAAACAAGGAAATTATCTAACAGTATTAGTGATATTAAAGAGAAGTAAAACTTTGAAATAATTTAAAATTGGTGACAGTAGTTCATACACAGAAAACTGCACAAATTCAAGCTTGGTTCAAAAATATGATATGGAATGAGGGATATAATTGTTGATATCAGATGGATCTTGACTGAAAACAAAATACCAAAAAGATGTTTACCTGTGTTTTACCGACTATGCAAAAGCACTCAAACGTTTAGATCATAAAAAATTATAAATAACATTGCAAAAATTGGGAATACCAGAACATACATGCTGACCCTGTTCATAAACTAAGAGGTATGCATTCTAATAGAACATGGGAATACATTGTGTGCCTTTATATCAGGAAAAATGTGTATCAGGGTTGTATCCTTTTATCCTACTTATTCCTTCTGCAAGCTGAGCAAATAACTTGAAAAGCTGAACTTTATAAAGAAGAATACAGCATCAGGATTGGAGGAAGACAAATTAACAACCTGTGTTATGCAGATGACACAACATTGCTTACTGAAGGAGATCATTAGTACTTCCTAATGAAGATTAAAGACTATAGCTTTCAGTATGAATTACACTTCTACATAAAACAAAAATCTTCACAATTGAAACAATAAGGCAAATTATGATAAACAGAAGTTGTCAAAGATTTTATTTTACTTGGATCCACAATCAATGCCCATGGAAGTAGCAGTCAAGAAATAAAAAAACCTGCTGTATCCTGGTGTGGCACTGTAGGATAAATATTGGACTAATAACAACAGGTCTACAATTTAAAGTTAACAGCTACTCCTCGGAAACCTTATAAAGGGTTGCTATGAGTTGGATCTGACTCAATGGCACTTAACAGCAACATAGCATTGGGCAAAAAGGCTATAAAAGACCTCCTTAAAAAAAAAAAAAAGAGCTACTTAAGAGGCCTAAGGTGCACCTAACCCATTGATATTTTCAATGGCCTCATATGCATCTGAAAGCCAGAAAATGAATAAGGAAAACCAAAGGAGAATTGATGCCTTTGAATTATGGTGTTATGAATCATAGTGAATACAGCAGGGACTGCCTGAAGAACAAACTGATCTACCTTGGAAGAAGTACAGCCAGAATGCTCCCTAGAAGGGAAAATGGAGAGACTGTCTCATGCATATACTTTGGTGGTAGAGGGAGCAGTCCCTGGAGAAGGATATCATATTTAATACAGTAATGGGTGAGCAAAAGAGGAAGACCCTCAATGAAATGGATTAATACAGGAGCTGCAACAATGGGCTCAAACACGAAAACAACGGTCAGCATGGTGCAGAACCAGGCAGTCTTTTGTTCTGCTGTGTTGTTATGTTGTTGTTCAGTAACTTTGCATTAGTTTGACTCATAGCAGTCCTGTATAGGGTTTCTGAGGAGTAGCTGGTGGCTTTAAACTGCCGACTTTATGGTTAAAACTAATCGTGTGGCCAAGTACATTATCCAGTATTACCACACCAGGACCTGCTGTATACAGGGTCTCAATAAGTTGGAACCAACTCAATGACACCTAACAAGTATATTTAATTAAAAAACAAACTAACAAAAAATTAAGGTAGTGGACATACACCCAAGTCATGTCACTGGGTCCCTCTGGAGAGGAAAGAATGGAACTGAAGAAGGAAATGGGAGATCTAAATTTTACCTGTCTTTTAAATTTTACTTAAAAAGAATTTTTGGCTTTAGATTTGATATTTTTTTGAGCCCTGGGTACATTACATCAATATTGATTATTGTTGGCACTTTTTTTCTTTTTCAACTTTCAGAATAATCAAACCCATCTGACTTTAAAAGAGCTAGACAAGAAGAAAGACTCTAAGGGAGAGGAAGATGTAACATATAAAAAAATAGAGTGAACAACTGAGCAGTAAAGCATAAAATGAAATCTAAATTGTTATCAGTTATATAGTTTACGGCATTTGAGCTGGTGAAAACAGAACAAAAAACAAAGGATTTTTAAATCTTAAACTGAGGAACAAAAATGCAATAAAATGCATCATGAGGAAATACAGCAGAGTACGCAGTATGGATATAGTACATTAAAGAGGCTAGTTTTGTGAGAGAGGAGAAGGGTTAATGATACTGATTAATTATTATAATTTTTTGAAGCAGAGTTTCCAATTTTATTAAGCCAGCTGACTCAGAGGAGCTAATTTCTCCAGATTCCGAGCCCCGAATGGAGGGCAACATGGACCTATATGGGGTCAGAGTAGGGGAGGGGCCAAGCTTCATACCTGTTTAAGGGCAGGGGGAAAGCCAGGGGGATTGGTCCCATTCCACGACCTGATTAACATTCTAGCTTGTCTCCTGGGCGGGGAAGATTGGTCCCATTCAGTAACCTGATTAGCGTTCTAGCTTGCCTCCTGGGTGGAGAGGGCAGTGAATGATTTGTACCTTTTCCTGTTCATTCCCCTCTTTGATGCCCTTTGGAATCTTTTCCCCAAGGGCATCATCTAAATGTTGCATAAGGAATGGTATTTTGGTATTGATTTGGATTGTTGTTACCCTTTTCAATTGATTATTTACTGATTAATTCTTGACATGGTCATAAATAGATTAAGTGCTTGTAAAAAATTTTGGGGTACACAATAGAAAGAAAATATAATAAGAACACTAGAATTCTTTAACAAAAGAATTAAAAAAGGAGAGAGGATAAAAGACAAAGAAAATGTAATCATAATCAATGGAAAACAGAAACAAAATAAAACAAGCAAAAAAAAAAATAGGCATAAAAACAAACACACGAAGGATCACAATAAATCCAAATGGATTCAATTTCTCTGTTAATATTTAAACAATTGCATTTGAAAACTAGATATTTTGCTCTATACTGTTTAGAAAAGAAAATTCTAAAACACATTGTCAGAATATCTGAAAATTAAGCAATGGACCAAGGTATATAGCAGGCAAATTATTAAAAAACAGAGATTAACAGAAAAAAGGAAAGGGTGGCAACATGTATACTAAATAAAAAAAGCTAAATTCAGCCTGAGATGAAGTTGTTGTTTTATAGTGGTAAAACATACTTCAAGCTACTTAAGAAAACAACTCTCCCTCTGAATGTCATAGATCAAAGAAGCAAAAAGGTTGAAAAGATATGCCTTTTCCAGTTTCCCACCTGGCCAGCACATTAAGGAGGCTCCTGGACAGTCCCCAGAGTGCAGCCTCGTCACTGACCAACAAGCACCCAGACCATCAGCATGTACAATGCCCATTTCCCACTGCTCTGTCACTCACCTCGACAGGAGCCTTGAGGAACTCTTTTTTCCACCATCCAGGGGTCTTCCCCTTGTTGTAACTGGGAGATGACTTTTGGTTTGGAAAACGGAATCCCTGTTCATGAACAAGAATAATAAATAGTGTATAGGCTAGTCGAAACTACCAGCTGCTCCGCGGGAGAAAGATGAGGCTTTCTACTCCCGTAAAGATTTACACCCTCGGAAACCCTGTACAGGGTCGCTATGGGTCAGAACCAACTCGATGGCACTTAACAAAAACAACAAGGCTGCAGACACGAGTGGTCATGCTGCCCTCAGATCTAGCCCAGAGTTTCCAGTGCAGGGAATAGTTGACGGAAGCAGAGAAGGGTTCTAAGAGAGGCTTAAAATCTGGCACCCAGAGGAAAGTTAGGGTGCTGGCCATGCAACCCTCTAAGCTGGAGGCCCCTGAGTGATCCAGAGGATAGAGTGAAGGAAATAGGAGAAAGAAAAAAAAACACAATAAAGACAACCACCAACAAGTCTTTCAAGTTGACACATATCTCAGCAGTTTAGGGGAATTGTAAGTGCCATTCTCTGAGCCCACCTGCAGCAGGCTGAGCTGGCCAAGCCTTTCAAATGCCCTAGCAGGTGCTAGAATCTTCCCATGGCATATTTCTGCATCACAAAGACAGCTTCTTACCCAGTGAGACCAGGTTACTGTAGTTCTCCAGCATCACATCCCTGTACAGGGCCCTCTGAGCAGGGTCCAGGTGTAACCACTCCTCCTGACTGAAGAACACGGCCACATCCCTGAACATCACAAACTTCTGTAATGAAAAACCCATTTCTGTTCACCCAAGGTCATACACCTACAGTGAGATTGAACTTTGTCATAACTCAGGGTTTTGAGTGTTTCAAGTCAATTACAAGGTCTTCAAAAAGTTCATGGAAAACTCCATTTTGATCACTGCCTTCTCAGTTGAATCTGACTGAGAGAATATTTAACATTTTACTGAGAGGATTATTGTATTAAAATAGAATTTTCCATGAACTTTTGAAACCCCATTTTATTCCCAATCTCTCAGTTTACTGATCACACATTTATCATGTATCTATTGTGACTGAGCACCATGCGCTTAGAAAGTTTAAACCCAACAGCTAGACAAGGTAAGCACCTGAAAATATTAAACAAAACCAGAATGGCAGAAACACAAAACTTTAGATTTAGAAATATACAATCACCTAGACCAAACTCATTTTAGAGATGAGATTATGAGAATCAGGTTTTAGATGGCAGCTCCAGCACTCTCACTGAGGGAGGAAGAGGTGGGAGACCTCTGGTTTACCTTGGGCCATCTTTGTTTCCTGGGGTAGAAAACATTCACAGTAAGGGGAGCCTCTGATAATGCCTTAGACATGGCCTTGTCAGGAGAGGTTCGAGGGTGGTAGATTATATAGTCCCTTGGTAAGAGTCAGCTGAGAAGGCAGTAGTCAAGATTCATCCTCTCTTTCTAGGAAGCCTTTGTTCTACTTCTTGTTTGTCTTACTAGACTACAAGCCACTTCTATTAAACAAGTGACCCCTTTTCTTTCTTACTAAGGAGTATTGCATTAAAACCAACAAACATTTTTTAAAGACCAATAAACAAAGGAAAAATAAATGTCACTCTAAATGTTTCACCACCAAAACTAAATTTTGTTAACTTTTTGCTATATAACCTTTCAGATTTTTTACATTAAGTTCTACACTTAAACAAAAATAAAAAATATTACAGATAATTTCATCTACTTCAATAATTTTTTTATTGCTGAGCAGTTTGGGAGCATGGTGGCTATGTATGATAAGCACAGGACTTAAACCACAAGTTCAGCAGTTTGAACCTACCAATTGCTCCATGGGAGAAAGATGAGGCTTTTTGCTCCTGCAAAGATTTCTGAGGCTTACAGCCTCAGAAACTCTATATAGTGTTACTGTAAGTTGGAACCAACTTGACTACACTTAACAACAACAGCACTTTTATTGTCTCTATAAACCAGTTTATTTAACTGGTATATTCATGGGCCTTCAGGCTATTTTGATCTTTTCACTACTCTAAAAATGCTAGGCTGGATGTTCCTGAATGCTTATCATAAGACAGAGGTGCAAAGTTTATTTCCTTAGGATACATTTCTAGAGGTATAAGTGTAAGGTCATAGTTTACTTAGTCTTTACCATCTCTAAGAGTAGCTGCCACTGAGTTGGCCCCACTTCATGGCTAACCCATAGACAATTGAACAAAATGTTCCCTAGTCTTGCACTGTCCTCATGATCAGTTACAGATCAGACTGCTCACCTGAGTCTGGGCTGGTGGCAACCTTGTGGTCATTTCTTCTTCCCACGGGTCCTCTTGGAGAATAGCAAAGTGCTGAGGATCGCCTGGAATAGAGACAAAAGCTATGAAGTCTCTCTGCCTGCACTCCTGGCCTTATTAGGGCAAAGCAGGTTAGAAATCGCCACACTCACTGAGTACCCAGAAGAGTTTGATGCAACCCAGGCACTCAAAGACATGGCAACCAAAACCTCCCGTCACTAAGCAAAGGTTATAACTGTCGAATTCCACACACAGTTGTGTGAGCCTAAGAGCAGTTGTTCGAACAGAACAAGGGAACACTGAATGGTTTAAAACAAGAAAAGGTGTGTGCCAGGGTTGAATTCTTTCACCATACTTATTCAATCTGCATGCTGAGTACATAATCTGAGAAACTGGATTATATGAGAAAAACATGGCATCAAGATTCAAGGAAGACTCATTAACAACCTGCAATATGCAGATGTTACAACCTTGCTTGCTGAAAGCGATGAGGATTTAAAATACTTACTGATGAAGATCAAAGATTGCATTGGATTGCACCTCAGTGTAAAGAAGACAAAAATCCTCACCAGTGGACCAATAAAACAACATCCATATAAATGGAGAAAAGATTCAAATTGTCAAAGATTTCATTCATTTTGCTTGGATCAACATCAACATTCATGGAAGCAGCAATAAAGAAATTAAGTGACATACTGCATCTGGCAAATCTGCTATACAGACCTTTTTTAAAAACTGTTTGTAAGGAAAAGAAAGAAAGAGAAGAAGGAGAGAGTCTTGGCTTCAACAGCAGGCAGGTTTATTGAGAGTAAACCTGGGAGGGGGTACTTTTATGTCACCAAAGGAGACCAAGAGCTTGTCTGTTCCCTTACAGACTGGGGTACTTATAGGCCGTGTGGTCTGGGTATAGTTCTGGCAAGTTTACAATGGGCGGAGGAATGGAGATTTTCCTGAAACCTGGAAATTCCGGGGGGGAGGAGGGGAAGGGAGGGTCTCCAGGTGTAACAAAGACCCAAGCTTCCAGGGAGATCAGAAGCTTAAGCAGGACCCCATTCAGTGTCAATTGGGTGCAGTTGCAATGTCATTCTGTTGATCAGGTGCAAAATCCTTCAGTGTTCAAGAGCAAAGATGTCAGTTTGAGGACTAAGATGCACTTGACCCAAGCCATGATATTTTCAATAACCTCATATGCATGTGAAAATTATACAGTAAATAAGGAAGACAGTAGAAGAATTGATGTATTTGAGATAAGGTGTTAGAGGAGAATATTAAAATTACCATGGACTGCCAAAACAACAAATCAATCTGTGTTGGAAGAAGTACAACCAGAAAGTTCTGTGGAAGTCAGGATAGTCAGATTTCGTCTCTCATACTGTCAGGTGGGACCAGTCGCTGGAGAAGGATATTATGTTTGATTAAGTGGATTAGCACAGTGGCAGCAGCAGCAATGGGCTCAAACATAGCAATGACTGTGAGGTGGGCACAGGACCAGGCAGTATTTTGTTCTATTGTGCACAGGGTTGCTATGAGTCAGTACAGTACCGACTCGATGGCACCTAACAACAACAACAATGGCAATGGTAAATTAATGAGTTATGATATAAACATTCTGCACATCTACATTTGGCATTTCTAGGTGAAAATCAGCATTGAAGAATTGGTGTCTTTTTACAAGAAGGCAACCCCAAACTCTTTCTCATAGAAGTTTTCTTTCCTTTATTGATTAAGAGTTATCAAAGTTGCTTAAATGTAAAAGAAACATTACCTACCCTCACCTGTCTTCCAAAACAAATGGGTTTTCAAAGGAACAGTATCATTGGCTAGAAATGACTTGAAATTTTAGAGAAAAATGGAGTAACTTAGCTAGGGGGAAAAATTACTGTACAGAAAAGTTAAATCACTTTAGGATTCACTCTAGGTAAGCACTGCCAAACTAGCACGGTTGGCACAAAGTTTAAACCAGGTGGAACAGGGTGGGAACCAACAAATTCTAGAAGTTGAAAAACACCCCAGGGCTCAAGAACCCACAAAGAAGACATAGTTCTTTTCGAGCTATTTGTTAGGGCCCATTCTCCAGGACCCTGGAGGGTCCAGTGGTCTAGTGGAGGTAGCTCCCTCTTCTGGCTCCCTTGAGGGCCTACCCAGGCAACGCCCCCTGACCAGCTGCATCCACCTGCCAAGGCCGAAGCTGCGCAGGGGCTCAGTCGGGGAGGGAAGGGAGGCTGGAGGGTGGGGGGCGGAGGGGAGAACTCGCATCGCCGCCGCTTGTCTACACCTGGCTCCGCAGCAGAAGCGGCACGTCACAGGCCAGTCATTCCCACCAACCTGTACCTGGGTCCGCCGCCGCGGCTATGCGTATATGCTGACCGTACTGGAGAGGAGCGAAACACCTTGCACCGGTACCTGGAGCCACTACCGCCTCCAGGCCGCCAGACAGAACTGCACCCACACTCCGGAGAAACACTGGGTACCCCAGCAGAACCTCAAGCCTTGTCCTTTAGACTACATTTCCCAGGCATTGCAGCGACACGTTCCTCTATGGAGTCCAAGAAGGACAAAATTAAGCAGGATAGAGAAAATGGTGCTAATAAGCATACTAATCTTGAGTTTCTACCGCTTCTCCTTTGTGCACCCGTATTTCTCATAATTATAGAGATTATAATATGAAAAATTAGTATGCATTTAAAAATATGGAAGGGTTAAGTACAGCTGCTAATGGAAAGGTTGTGATTGGAATGCATCCAGCAGCTCCAGTGAGAAATACCTGGTGAACTACTTCCACAGATTACAATCTACGAAACTTTATGAGTCAGTTCTACTTTGTCCCATGGAGTAGCTATGAGTCAAAATAGAGTTGATGACACCTAACAATAATAGCCACTCACTGCATATTGGGGTGTGTGTGTGTGATGAGACAGAATTGTTACAATCTATATTATAAATTTTTGTATTAAAAATACGTATTTTTGTAATTTGTAAAGGATATATTTTATGTGTCCCTCACATTGAATAAAAATAGAAGAATAAACCCAGTATCTTCCTTTTCATGGCATGTTTAATTCTTTAAAAATAGCTTTTTTACTCTTAAAGCCTGGCTTTCATACTGAATAAAACCTCCTCTTTTATAACGGTATCCTCAATGACTAGCACTGCACATAGCAACTAATATTTCCTATCAGGAGGGTTAGGCAACGTCTTATATATTTATTGGCTATTTGAGGTTTGCTTTGTTTGTTTGTTTGTTGTTTGCTTTGTGTTTGTGTATGTGAAGTGTCTTTTCCAGTCTTCTATCAACGTTTCCATTGTGTTGTTAGCGGTTTATATCTGCATCTATAATGTATACTTTGCTATTCATAGAAAATACCAAGCCATGGTATTTTCAATAGCCTCATATGGATGTGAAAGCTGGACAGTGAATAAGGAAGATCGTAGAAGATTGATGCCTTTGAGTTGTGATGTTGGAGGAGAATACTGAAAGTGCCATGGACTGCCAAAAGAACCAATAGATCTGTTTTGGAAGAAGTGCAGCCAGAGTGCTCCTTGGAGGCCAGGATGACTAAGCTTCGTCTCTCCTACTTTGGACATACTGTCCGGAGGGAACAGTCGCTGGAGAAGGATGTCATGCTGGGTAAGGTGGAGGGTCAGAGGAAAAGGGTAAGACCCCTAACGAGATGGATCAGCCAGGTAGCATCATTGATGGCATCAAGTGTGGCAGCGGTAGTGAGGTTGGCCCAGGATCAGACATTGTTTCATTCTGCTGTGCATGGGGTTGCTATGAGTAGGTTCCGACTTGATGGCACCTGACAACAACATAATGTATACTAATTTTTTGTGTCTTACGTTGTTAACATTATCTCATAGTTGATGAAACTAAATTTCACATCATTTATAGTGGATTTTGATGAATAAACATAGGTTTGTAAATTTTATTGGCCATGTAGTCATTCTTTGTCTTTTGGATTAAGCTTTTATTTTTAAAAATATTTAATGAATGCTTCACTTTACTGAGTTCAAAGAACATGTTCTTATACATTAGCTTTTGTTTTGCTTTGCTTTTAGCATTTGTCTTTATCTATGTTGAATTGTGTATAGTGTAAAACAGAGATTCATTTTCCTTCTTTTTCATTATGGTTACCCAGTTTTTCTAGTATCATTTGTAGTTATTCATCCTTTTCCCTACGATTTGCAGTCAGTTCTAGTTTACATAGATTTTCCATAATGTTTCACCTTTTTTATGGACTCTATTATTTTCAGTTCATCGAATTAGCTATATCCATACCATTATTTTGGAGTCATGGTGTGGTGCGTTGGGCTAATGCACTGGACTGCAAAGTTGTTTGAACCACAAGATCGGTGGTACAAGCTCACCACTGAACCACAAGATCGGTGGTGCAAGCTCCTTGGAAACCCTATACAGGGTTGCTATGGGTCGGCACTGACTTGATGGCACTTGACAACAACAACATACCATTATTTTAGATTTATGATATATTTTTATATTTTCCACTGCCACCAAGTTGATTTCAACCCATAGCAACCTTATGTAGGTCTATGAAATGAAATCTTTACAGAACAGACAATCTCATCTTTCTCTTGTGGAGCAGATGGTTAGTTTGAACTGCTAACCCTACAGTTAACAGTACAACACCTAACCTACACTGTCACCAAAGCTACTTACTTATTTATTAAAATATAGTATCTTGTATTATCTTATAGTTGTTGCTGTTGTTTTTAAGTGCTGTGGAGTTGGTTCTGACTCATAGCCACCCTAGGGTTTCCAAGGAGCAGCTGGTGAACTTGAACCGCTTTGACCCTTTGCTTCTCTACATACAATTTTAAACTAATGTTATTTAAAAACCATGAAAATCCACTTACGATATAGCTTGAATTACACTGACTCTATAGATGAATTTGAGGAGTACTCATCTGTCAGTTTGTTATACTGTGGTGACTTGTATGCATGTTGCTGTGATACTGGACAGTATGGCATCAGTATTTCAAGTACCAATAGAGTTACCCATGGAGGACAGGTTTTATTGAAGCTTCCAGACTAAGAAGAAGGAATAGGTGGTCCACTTTTGAGGGATTAGCTACTGAGAACCATATGAATAGCAGTGGAACATTGTCTGATGTAGTGCTGGAAGACAGTCAAAATATGGCTGGGAAAGAGATACCTTCTCAAAGTAGAGTTGAGTTTAATGACATGGATGGAACAAAACTTTTAGGACTTTCATTTGCAGATTCAACATGACTCAAAATGAGAAGAAACAGCTGTAAACATTTATTAATAATTGGAAGGTGAAATGTACAAAGTATGAATCCAGGAAAATGGAAACTTATCAAAAGTGAAATGAAACATATAAAACACTAGGCATTAGTGAGCTGAAATGAATTGTATTGGCCATTTTGAGTTGGACAATTATATGGTTTACTATGCTGGCAATGTCAATTTGAAGAGGAATGGCATTACATTCATTGTCAAAAAGAATATTTCACTCTCTTCTTTCTGCCTTCTGTTCTTTCTGCCTTCTCTCTCCGGCAGAGGTCACCTTGCTCGTCCTCACCCTGAATAAAAGTCTCTAGATGTCAGCTTGAGGACTAAGGTGCGCCTGACCCAGGCCATTGTATTTTCAATAGCCTCATATGGATGCGAAAGCTGGACAATGAATAA